AAATAACACTTAGGAAAGGAAGAGATTAACAAATTTATCAGCTGTGATAAATCATTTGGTAAAACCCAAGATATTTTTACTATGATAAATCCCAAGATTCTTCACGGATCTTGGATGAGCTCTCCTTGATCTGCTTGAGTACAGTACATAAGAATCTGAACCCCATATCTTAAATTCAGGCTTTAGAGAATGTTTCAAAATAAAATAAATAAACAACTCCTCTTACTAAATGGAATTAATTTTCTTGTAGAAGCAATCCTATCAATATACAACTCATTTTAAAAAGATAAGGTGGAACAGGAAAAGGAAACAGTTCATTTCTCATAATAAAACTATCATTAACATAAACAGTACAACAGGCATTAATCTTTTATTGTAGTTATTGTATTGTAATATGACACTGTTGTTGCTGAAATAGAGCTGAACAGGTACAAGGCATGTAAGTTCTCAAATATATGTCTTTGGGTAAGGTCATGAAGAAGCAAAGCCAGCTTATGAGTAGTTCAAGAGAAACTTCTTTGCTCTGTTTTTTGTCTCTATTTTAATGATGCTTGCAATGGAAATGAGTAAATGTCTGCAGTGGATGTTTTCCATACTAGCTGGAACACTGGAAGCCCATTCTCATTCATATGATATATGATATAAAGATACTCAAATAATTGCCTTTACAAAATGTCTGTTGTCATTTGTACAGCAGGTGCTATTTCCATTTTACTGTTACTTTGTTTATTTTACTTTTGGCATTCTATTTATTTGGCTGTGAATTTTCCTGAAAATGTGTACGAAGTGCAAAGATTCTCACAGTGGAATCTGACATGGTAAGAGTTTGTATGAAAGCAATATATGTGATTTTTACTTTGTTCCTAACTCAATACAGTAGTTAATAGTCAAGGTCCAAGTATGCTGAATTCCATAAGTGAAATAAAAGGAGCAGTGGTATTTACAACCTGGTGCATTATTTAGACAATTATTGCTACTTGCTGACATGTTTAGATTCTCCCCTACGGCTTACAAAATAAAGCTTCACAATAGAGTTATATTTCTCTGCCTTTGATTAGCCAAACAAAAAACAAGGAATGAAGAGCTAATGTTTTACTTCAGAACTCATCGAGATTTAGCTTGCCAAACCTGGCTCTGCATTAACTTGACTTCCAGTCATCACTACTGAACACAATGTATATCAATATTTTCTGATTGATATATCATGATTCTATCATGATTCTAAGATTGTCTGTGAGAATGCAAAGCCCATAAAACATGTCATAATGAAGGGCCTGGAAGCCTCTTCCCACCTTCAGTGTTTATATTGCTTCTTATTTCCACACCTGGTAAAGAGATTGATCACTAGGAACTCTGCAGGAGCTTTTTCAATCCCGGCAATGTCTTTTGACATTGCAGTTGAAACAAAAATTTTGAGACAAACTTGAAAATAATCTGTACATTTTTCTGTAAAATGTTAATGCTATTTTTAGGCAGAAAGTAGAGATAAGTTTATATATTACAGAGATAAAAGTCTTAACTAATGTTTGGGTAAATCCCACTCCTGTCCATGTAAAGGGCAATTTATCCAAGCCATGACCATACCCTGTTTAAAGACCAGCCAAGCAAGGAGCTGGAGGCCTTCAAGACTTCACAGAGGAGAAGTAAATAAGGGATAAGGTTAATGTTTTTAATATTTTACATTTTGTCTAAAGAATAATTGAATTATACTTTTCTTTTTTCTTTTTTTTTTCCTTGAGCCAGTTCAAAATAAAGATCTAGATACAGAGAAGAGAGAGGAGCAAGCTGAAGCTAAAGATGCATCTCCCTAATCCTGAAGCTTAGTAGCTTTGGGAAATTCTAGAAGATGAGTTTCCTGCCACAGAAAAATGGTCCTACTAACAGTTTTAGAGATGTATGGAATTGCAGTACTTCAAGTTGGTCTTCAAGCTCTAATCCAGTCAATTTCAACATAGCATTCATCATAAAAATTGGATTTTTTGGAGGGAGACCAAAGAGTGGGTTACCAAATTCTGTGCCTCATTAACTTAAGAAAATAAATTTTGCAATATATTTTGTAAACCGTATTATTAAAGAAATGTCTTTTGTATTCAAGAGATCCTTGGAAAATTGTATAGAATGTCACTTCTCTAAAAATTAGAAAACTTTAATTTGAAGTCTAAATATACAATTGGATTGTTTTCAGCTGTTGCTATAAAAATCATTTAGTTTAGTAATTTTGACCCATTTGCAGTAAACCTTATAAGTTTATGCAAATAAATCATGTCATCTTAGCTGTGTCTAAGATGAAAAACCCAAAATGGTTTCACTGCTCTCATAAGAAAGGATTTCCACTGTTATCATCATAAAGGATGTTCCTCATACATCTTTCATTCTGACTTTGTCTTTTCTTACTGGTGAGATTTTTATACAGTACTCCTCAAGCTGGACAAATCCTGATAATGTCAGCAGTTCTTCTGAACCATGCTGTAAATGCTCCAGCTTATGGACTCTGATTTCATCTGTTTTCCAGTTGCACAAAGCTAGCAACTCCCAGTGATTCTCTGGTCAATGAATATACACAAGTATATCCTTTCAAACATTAATTTTCAAATTTTGAATTCATGGATCATAGTAGAAACTCCAAGTTAGTAGTGGCAAAGGTCCAAATTCAACCCGCCTCACAATAAACACCTGCCATCAAAGTGAACTTAGGAAAGTAACTGTCCTTGTTTAATCAGAAATAAACATTAACTTGAGACACCTTAAAAGATGATGTAAAGGGATTTTTCCTATAAATTATTTATGATGAGAATTTTTTAAATCATATTTCAGTCTACCAACTAATCTAATGTACTCATAGGTCTCTTTCCTAATGGCTCTGATCATATCTAGAAAGAGTTTAAAATTGTTCTCCTCTTCTTACTTTATTTTTATTCTGCATAAACATTTTCTTTGTTTTTTTCACCATGAAATCTTAAAGTAAGAAGTTCATTAATATGTTTTCAAGTCCTTCTTATGTTACAGTACTTTAAATTCTTGACTAAATCTCATTAATTTCCTCTAAATTAATTAGGTTGCACTTATTCCATTATTTTGTAATGGGATAATTTTTTTTTTCTTTTTGATTCTCAGCAACATTTTATGTTAATTGATGTCTAATAGAAGATGACATTTCAACACCTTTGAACTGTATGGTCTGATGCTGATGAAAATCTGTGGACCAACCAGACCAAAATTTTCTTTCAAAGAAGGTGGAAAATTGTGTTTTAAACATTTGAATTCTTACCAGGCAAGAAGGATTTGTATTGGTTTGGATAATGGGGTACATCCTTTTTTGGATTAGGAATGCAAGTATGAGCTAGTTATCATCCAACAAGAGATATATCCACATGCTTAATCCATTACTAACCTAAACACGGTGTTTCTGGAGTGAAAAGAAGGGACAAAATCTAGGGTACTTGGAAAAAAGGTGTTCTTTTCACAGTCCCTGTGCCCTTCACACTCTCCTCTCTCTTCAAATCAAGCACAATGGCAGTGTCTTTAAAGATGGAAAAGAAACATGTGATTTTGTATAAACGTGTTGGAGTCTTTGTATGGACCTTATCCCTTTTGAAGGCAAGGGCAGTGTAGACCTGAGCTGCAGCATGTCACCTTACAGGATCACCCTGCCCTACTGCCTGTTCCTTGCAGCTTCTCTCACAACAACATCATGACCAACATAAAAAGGAAAGAAGGGAGGATACAATGATATATCTGAAGTATTTATTCAAATATTTGAAGGGTCTTAGGAGGGAATAGTGAGAATCGGTGTTTCTTTTAAGAGAGAGGTCCTGGAGGGAAATTGGGAGCTACTGAATAAACTCTCTGGAATACATTTGGAGTTGATATGTGCTTTGAAGAGAAAAACAAACAAACAAATAAACAAACAAAACAGAGAAACAGTTTAGAGATAGGAGTTCTTAATGTTGCTGGTCACTGAAAAAGTCTTCTGCTTCAGAGTTTTAAAATATCGTCATACTTGGCACCGTTCAATAGCTCTAATTTGGCCATTAAATTCCTGTCACCTTTGCCCTCTCCTAATGATTGTGACAAAATGGTGTCTGCAATCAGTAAGACTCAATCGTTGTGGGAATTATTTGAATAAACAATCAAGTCTGCATCTCATCCATCACCTTGACTGATTTCTCTATTCCCTGTTCACCTCTTCATGACATTTGGTAGGTCACTTGATATAAAATATGCAAACAGTGAACTGAAATAGCCCAAGTCTGCTGAAATATGCTGACTGAACCAGTTGTCTTAAAGTAGCCATGAATCTTTGCATGGCAAGCACAGATATTTTCTGTAGGTTTTTTTTTCTTGCCACTTAGGCTGGTGTGGTATTTGTCCCCTTTACATTCAGAGCACTTGTACTTACAAACTCACCTCATGTGAAGATAGGCATCATCTGTTAAATCTCTTGGATAAGTACAAAAATAATTTACAAAAAGGAAGGAACGGTTAGCAGAAAGAAACATGGTAGGAGTAGAATCAAAGTACTGATGAGAGCAAGTAAAGGAGTGAGTTGGGAAATTAGGCCAACAGAAAAACTATATGTACAGTTTATCTTCTGTTTTAATGAAATTAGTAAAGATATCTTTAATAGGGTTGAATAGGCCTAAAATTAAGTTATATTAAGATACCTCCAGATGGAATAATCTGAGTATTTCTAGGGCTCTTTGTGTACTAGCTGACACCCTGCCATCCACCTGCCTGTATGCCAGTCTTACTGAGCTGGCTGTACCTGTCAGCAGCCAGCACACACCATCTCCCCTACGGCTGCTGCACAGCTCAGCCTGGTGTGAAAGCACAAGACTAAATCTGAGTCAGTTCAAAGTGGTATGGGCTGCAAAGCATGGTGCTGAGACCTGAGCATATGGTCCTTTCTGGCAGCTGTGCTATGTATGGCAAAAGGCTCCCCAAGAAGAGCAGCAGGATATCAACTGGCAATAACAATCTCCAAAACAGCCAGAGCTCACCTGGAGACTCCTTAAGACTAGCGTCTCAGCACAGCTAAAATGATCTGAATGTCTCCTGGGAGATCCACAGAAAAGCATTATTTGGGTTTTTTCACCTCATTCTCCTGTCTCCTCTTTCCATGGTCTTCATCTTCCTGTGCTGCTGTGTTTGTGTGCATTTGTGTTTCTTACATGCCTAGGAAAGAGAAAGAGCTGAAAGAAAGCATCAGGATGTCTTAGTAAAGCTCAGCATCAAATCACTTTTTCCTTTAGCTTCTGTAGGGAAATATGGGGCAAATTTATCCTACTGTGGAATCAGGAATGATTCTTGATATGCACAGAATATATCAGTTATCACCTGTGAAATACATTCGTGACTAAAGTTCAAGAACCAGTCTTTCCTGTTTTTCACAAGTCCTGATTCCAGAATTTAAAGTTTGAAGTACAAAGACAGACTGGTTTGGGGAGGAATTAATTGTAGTTTACATTTCTAGATGTAACTCAAATTGACTTTTTCTCTTAATAGCACAGCCCAAACCTGACCCTACCTGCTGATTTCTGCCTTTAATCTGTGTTGGTAGGCTCTGTTTCAGATAGTTGCATTATAAACTAAATCTTTTAAAACAAAGGAATTTCAAAATAACCCCACCAAAGGAGGGGTGCTTGGAAAGTCTTTTTGAGAAGTCATTTCATCTATCAGCATAATCTCAGTTATGCCACTATAAGCAATATTCAAGGAGCTGCACCTTCAGTCACAGAAAGAGTGGCACGCAGGTCTGCCTCAGCAGTGGGGATGCCTCATCCAAATATCAGCTCAACATCTCGTTCCCATCCCCTTGCTACCACCTGAACTTCTAACACACAACAAAAAAAAAAAGAATATTGAATATTTTACAGCAGAAAAAATATATATATTCCCTCCACCCCCTCTTTTCCAAGACACTTTCAACCAGGCAGATGCAGCCCATCCTGTGGCTGCACAACCATCTGCATGTGAAGGAGCTATGAATTGGGAAGATTTTTAAAACAATCTCTGAAGAAATGACACAAAATAAAAAGTGGCATGAGTTACCCCAACAGTGGCTGCATTGTTACGAAGAGTCGCCAATGACAGCAAATCTGCTTGTCTATGTGTAGATTATACTGCAGATACAGCCATGAACAATATGAGAAGTTGTTTGTTAGGTCAATAAAGAAAGATTATATCCCTCTTTTGAATTCTTTGACTTTTATTACTGGATAATAAACCTGAACAAATTTTCGTATATCAAAAATATGTAAATACATAAACCAGAAATATTATTCAATATTTTTATACATTATTTAAAGTAAACTTGCTTTTAATCTTCAAAGTTTCTATCTCTAGGTATTTCATGATAAATCGTAATAAAAAATGATTAAAAAAAGGAGAAAAAAATCTACTTTTTTTGTGAAGATGTGTTCACAAAAGCAAAATAATAAGCTAGTGAAGTATGATATATTATGTAACAACTTATATCTTCATAAAAATGACAAATATTGTTTGACAAATATTTTATTGCATGTCTCACAGCTATTAAATAATTCCCAGTTTAATTTTTGTTGTGTCCTAACAGTCAATAGTAAATACTATATTCCCTTGCTCTCTTATATTTTCATCTATATTCGCAAAGAAAGCTTCCAGTTTTTATTTTGTTTTCTTTTTCATTTTATATACAAAACCCAGTAACTTTTTACCCTAGGGCTCAGTTCTTAGGATATATGGTGACAAACTTGCAAGCAATCAGATACAATTCTGCATATCTCAGCCTCTCTTCCAGGCTAGATAACTGGAATGCATGAGAATAAGGAAGCTCAGTGTATACACTTAAGAGCTTATTTTCTATCTCTTTTCACTTGCCATGGCATGTGGGCTCCCTAACCCAGTTCTGGTTCTTATCGGCTTCATCCAGAATTGTACATTATTGATGTAAAGATTCCAAAACATGAAGACTTACCTTACCATGTCACAGGTGGATTAGTCAGACATCAAATTGGGACATTGGGGAACCTATCCTATGATGGCAAGACACAAATTACCTGGGAGACTGAGGATGCTGTAAGCCTTAGCGGTGGTTGTTACCACTTGACATTGCACTCCTCCTGAGGCACTCATTTGCTGTGTGGAAGGGGAGTAACCCTTGTACTGATACTATACTATTTTGTGAGTTTTGCACCAGACAGCAGACCTTGTTGATGTGTTCCTGGTGTGCCTGGCTGCGCAGCCACACCTACCTGTGGTCAGTGTGCCAGGGCTGCTTTGAACTCAGGAGCCCCCAGCTGGGAACCTGCATGCCGCTCCGCTTCATTTCTGGAACCTGATCAGCTGCAGGCAAGAAATAGAAACACAGCTGCTTATTACAGAGTCATCCCAGGCATGTACAAAGCATTTGGAGAACTTTCAGGTCAAATTGGGTTGTCCCTTAGTATGGGTAAGTGACTGAGCAAGGGCTTTCCAGGCTTCAGTGACTTCTGTTCTGGCCATATTTTCAACATATTAGAAATGCATGTGACTAAACAGAAATAAAAGAACACTGCTGAGGCAAAATGTTCAATTCACTTGATCTCAACAGAGATAAAATGAGATCCTGAATAGGTGACTAAATGGCATAAAACTTGGAAGTGACCTTTTTCTTCAGTGAATTATAAACTGCCAGAATGCATGTGGTAAGAAACTGATCCCTTTTTATTTGATTTTAATATGTCTCTGTAATCTTTCCTGACCACACCTGACCACCTTTCTCTGGTGTGACATGGCTAAATATCTATTAGATCCATCTGATTACCATATTTATGTTACTGCATCACTGCCTAGTAAAGGAATAGACTAAAATAAGGCTGGCATGTGCCAGCCTTGCAATTACATCAGGTAAAAGATGCAATATGTAATTTATACTTAAAAATGAAGAATATTTGATGCAGCAAAAATGTCTATCTGTCAGAAATTCAGGATGAAGTCTGAGATGCTGGACTGATATACTAAATCAGAATTGTAGTATGGCCATTGTGTTTGCAATCTTGTATTGGAATGCCTTACACTAGATTTAGTGTATTTTTCACTCCAAGCCTCATTGCTTTCCCTGGAGAGAAATAAATGTAGGAATGAAGGGTTTTATTTTGTAAGGGGAGCAAAAAAATATAATGGCAGAAAGCATCACAAGAACAGACAGCAATTTATTCTATAGTTTATGTGGTTGAAGTCTTTCAACATCAGTTTGTAGCTTTGTCAACTCTAATATTTTAGAGCTCAGTCAGGTGCTCCTGGCTTGATACCAGTATCTTTAAATGCTTGCTTTCATAGACTATAATGGTGCAGTCTTGTAAGAAGAGAAACCAAAAAGAAGCGTGGCAGTTTGTCCTAGAAAACAGATGATCATACATACTCAGTGTTCATACATAATGTCAGTTGGATAATTAATACTAACACCATTTCTGCTGATGGAGGGCCTTCATTACTCTAATCCTCTCAATTTCTGTTACAAGACACCACAACCTTTGTCTTACAGATAAAAAAACTGAGTCAAAGAAGCTCAAATGTCTTATTTACACCAACCCAGTGAGTCAGCATTACTGTCAAGCAGGAAAATTACACCTTTCAAGTGTCCATGGCAGGATATAGTCTACTACAAAACATTAGGACTCTGGTCAATATTGTATAACGTGTTAAAATGCTTTGTTTGGTATCTGTTCTCATTCCCAAAACACTGCACCTGAGTGACCTTGTAAAGAAGTTGTATCTTCAGCTTTTCCCACCCAAACAACAACCCAAATACTCAGTGTACTGAATCTGCATGGCCTGGTAGTCACTGATGTTAAAGCAATGTGCATCTTTCCAGCATTTCAACATACAGGCTGGATCTGAATATGAAATGTGAAGGTTAGCTTCTGGGAAATGGGAAAACCTAAAGGAGTGTCACCTATAAATTTACTTTCAGTGGAGAGATTAGGAAGTTTAAATGCAACACCTATGTCAAATATCCTCCAGAGCCGTGCAGCATGTCCACCCTCGGATTTCTCTTAAAAGTTTACATTAAAAAAAGGACAAGTAAGGAAAAATAAAAATTGCAGAATATAATTTGATATTTACTGGTTGCAGTTCAGTTTTCTGGGTAGGCAAGGATACAGCAGATCACAAGATATATTCACTGTAAGCAAAAGTTCAGTGAAATTTCTGTTATCTTAAATAAACTAGTTGTTAAAATGTACTGCTGATAGGATTGTCAGCAAGAGGAAATTATTTTAGCTCTGTCACAGTATTGAACTGTTACATATGGAAAGTACTATAACCTTGAAGACTGAGGTGCCTCTTAAACCAGCAATAAAAATTATCAAAAGATAGCTTTGGACAGCCTTTTTAACAGAGTTTTACATCTGAAGTTAATATCTTAGTGTGTAAGGTGCAGACATTATGGAGATAGCAGTATCTTGGCTCAGATCATTAAAAATCTAAGGAATTAATGCTGTTCAGAAATAGATTCTACTAAAGTGTCTAAACACTGGACAGTACAATCACCTATATCCAGACACTTCTGTTGCTTATTAAAAAAATTGGTATAAAGGCTTAAAACCTAACTTTTGACAAAAAAAAATTATTATTTCTTTAAGACCAAAAAGGCAATATTCAAAATTAAAAATGGTGCTAAACAAAATGCACAAACCCTATTTTATAGATTGTTCTTCCTATATTTTACATCAATTACTACTAAATTCAGAGAGTCTTACAATCACATGCCTGAGAAAAAAGGTTTTCCTAGGTGTCTCTTCATGTTTTTGACTGGTAGAACCCTTGTTATAAAAACTAAACTAAAAAAATATATATCTAAAATGTATTGAATATATATAAATATTTTTAAATTAATTATATAAAGATTTTTTCTAATTTATCAACATATAGCAATATAGAACTAAAATGGATGGCCTTAAGATTATTTTTAATAAGTCTATAGAGATACATCATTTATATATATATATATATAATATTTATATTATTTTTTATATAATAAGAAAATTTACTCAAACTTTTGGTCTGTAATTCCCTGTCACTGGCAGTGCACACTGCCCATATTTATCCCAGCCCATAGTATGATTTTTCCATTCTGTTCTTTTACAGAAACTTGTAACATAGAGAAACCTCTCTACATCTCTTGTTCAGCTTCCCCCTGATTTGTTTTGGCTCTCAGCCCCACT